GAGAGACTGTGGTGGCGCGCGGAAAAAACAAGAAAGATGCCAAAAGGAACGCAGCGGCCAAAATGCTCAATATCTTTGGATACAGCTGCAGCGTTTCTGAGCCGGAGCTGGAAGCAGTAGAAGAAGTTGCTCAAGAAATCCCCATTCAGGAAGAAGTAGAGATCCAGCCACCTGTGGAAGAGATGGGGCCAGTTCTGCCCATCGTGGCTGCGACGGAGGAGATAGAAGTGAAAAATGAGGTGTTCCAGTTGTGTGCAACATCCCAACAGCCAGACAACCAAGCACTGTCTGTAACTGTTGAGGACGGGGCTGACGTTAGCGAAAACATCAAACCTGAGGAGGATGTTTCCTCTCATCAGGAGGTTGTGGATGTTTGCAGCTCGTCAGAAACCACAACAGAGGAATCCCGGATTTGCAACATAGTAAAAAACCATCGGGAACTGGGTCAGATGAATGTGTTTGAGGATGAACAATTGTTGCAAGGACCTGAAACAGAAGTTGAGGCACCTGAGATGTCTTCATATAACGTTGACATAGCTGCTCCGATTGACCAGGAATTCTCACCTGAAATTCTTCTGGAACCTGCGCTAACAGAGGAAGGCAATGACCTAATCATCAACCAGGAGGCTACATTGGATGAGAACAATCCTCAAGCAAACATTAATTATTTACCTGATGACATCCTCTCCATGTTGGCCCACATGGGAGTGATCACAGAGAACAATGGTACTTTGGCTTGGGCTGAAGCAACTACAAATGAAGAGAGACCGACTTCACCCGTAGAAGACCAGACCAGAGACGAGTCAGTGTCAGTGGTAGCAAACAAACACAAGGACCAGGGGGAGCTCAGTCCAATAGATCCTCCTTGTCCAGAAGAAACCAGTGGCTGCACAGTTGAGGAAATCACTGAGGCAACCAACGAATCTTCTGAAACTTCTTTTGAGGAGAAATCTGAGAACTTGATCTTAGACGAACCAGAGGAAGAGAGAGAGGTCAGTGTATTAGACCCACCTCGCCCAGAAGAAATCAGTATCCCCAAAGACAAAGAAAGCTTGGAGTCCTTTGAGGAAATGTTTGAGAATCTCATCCCAGACAGACCCGTGGACTTGGATAAACCGTGTCAAGAAGAAGACAAAATATCCATCATCCAAGAAAGCAAGAAGTCTGCAAAGAAAACCACAACTCTCACCATAATCACAACCATGAGATCAAACCCAAACCCTGAAACATGTATTAAGTCTTTTGAGGAAACATGTGATAACTTGACCTCAGACGGACCTGGGGGCCTGGATCCAGTAGATAAACTTTGTCAAGAAGAAGACGACATCTCCACAGAAGAAGAAAGCTTGGAGTCTGCAAACATAGCCCCTAAAACTGAGGCTTGTAAGTCCACGGCTCGTAAAACTGCTCACTACCTGACACGCTCCTTTGTCAGAAAACTATTTGAAATGGATGGAGAAGAGGACGACATACGTGCTCGCACACTCATGACCATTGAGCTGCAGAGGAAGGTCGAGAAGAGCATTAAAATCGACTACAACCAAAGTCAATTTAAACCTGAACAGTTGGAGAAGATTGGAAAGAAAGTTGCCAAAAGTCTGAGAGTTACAAACGGCTCCTTTGAGGAGTTGGTGCCCGATGTATTGGAACAGTTCAACACTGAGCTGAGAACTCTCCAAAACCGGCCTAAGTCTGGCCTGGCTAGGTTCTTCTCCAGGGTGAGACAGGCCTTCACTTTTTAAAAAATCTACCAATCCAAGAAGCACATTCATCCATGGACCAGGTGACGAACCACCACCAGGCAAATTTAAAAAGTGTGAAATTACTTTTTTGGACAGGTGTTAATAAAACAACCAATAGCCCATACAAAATCCCCAAAAAGACTACATAGATTTAAGGTCACTTCCACTTCAACAAAAAGATTCAAAAGATCTCAATATCACAGGCAACAGCAAAATTTGGCCGACCTTCAAAATCAAAAATTACAAAAACCGGTAGATTCGGTGCATTTGCCTGTCATGATGCTAAAAATAACAGCTTGCACATATTGGGCCTGGTCTCCTCGTGTGAGGCCTGGGCACCGCCTTGATGGGAGACCTGATTTCCCACCGGGTGCTACAGTGGGGCGGCTGTAAACTCGTCGTTTTGTCCTTGGGCAAGGCACTTCACCCACTTTGCCTTGTGAATGTTATGCGTGTGTGAATGGCAGGTGGTGGTAGGAGGGGCCTCTTTGGCAGCCTCACTTGCAGCAGATTGCCCCAGGGCAGCTGTGGCTAGTAGCTCACCACCAACGCGTATGGAATGAATGATTAGTGTGGCGAAATGCATGAAATAGGAGGTAGAAGTAGCACTTTGGTGTCATGACCAGCACTTTATAAATGCAACAGAATTGCTACCAATGGCTACAAAATGTGTTTTCTTTCCATTGAAAGGATCTGGCTCCAGAGGCTTGAGTTTGATCTTTGGTCGCCGTTGATCTTTCGATGTTTGGATGAAACAGGAATAGACTTTAAACAGAAGTGGAAGTTGTCTTGAAAATGGTCTACAATAGTCCCCCCCACCCCCACCCCCACTGCAATACAAAAAAATGAATAAAAATAAATAATAACATCTAACTTGTGGTTTGTGCTATATTTGAAAGTCAACCAACACAAAATGAGTGTGTGTCTGGATAAAGAACCGATTGTGATGCAGTTTATTTGTGATTTAAAACCAAGAGATTCCATAGAAAGATACAACTTTGGAAAATGTTGTGATGTCAAAGTGTGAAAAATCATGTCTAAAGATAGAACATCTCCAAAGACAAAGTCAAGGTTATTTTTGTAATTTGACTTTGTTTCATCTGCTCATGTTTGATGTTATCAGATGATGTGTGTGCTTCTGGGTGCAGGTAATTTCCCTCGTGGATGAATAAGGTTTGTCTAAGTGTAAGTTTGTGAGGTCTGCTCACAGCAAGAACTCATTTGTGTTTTCTCAGAGCGACGTTGGATTGATTCAAGGTAAATCTTTAACTCAAACAAAAGAAATATGCAGTCATTTCTCACAAAGTTGTTCATATGTAGCTCCTGTCCAGATCTAAAGTCTCTGGGAACCTATTCAGTCCTGGATCTACAGCCTCAATCCTGGATCTACAGCCTCAGTCCTGGGTCCACAAAATCAGTCCTGGGTCTATAGCCTCATTTCTGGATCTACAGCCTCAGTCCTGGGTCCACAAAATCAGTCCTGGGTCTACAGCCTCAGTCCTGGGTCTACAGCCCCTGTAGACCCCAAGACAGATGTTAGAGAACAAATATTGGCAGCTGACAGCACTGACTTATGCTGCTTTCACACCGGATCATGTGTTGAAATGCATATGCGTCTCGGAATGCAGGCACGGACTGCGCGGCAAAGGCGCGGCAGAGGCGCAGGAGCGGAAAATCGATGCACCTAGGAGATGGATTTCCCTGAACCTCTTCCGCCGGACGGTGGTGCAGCAACCAATCACAGAGCACGCACACCGCTGACGTGATCACACCATGTACACACCATATATACCCCGGGAAGGACCCGGAACTGGCCTTTTTCGAAATGGAAGATAACGTAATAGACAATCTGATCGTGGCCATAACTAACTTTCCAAAGCTGTGGAAAGTTAGCATTTCGGAATACAGCGACAGGCTGAAAAATGAGCTTGCATGGAAGTCCATTGCGGACGAGCTCAACCTCCCTGGTAAGTTATTTTAAAGTAGCATTTATTTAGAAATTGGTTCTTGTTTATGCTAGTTATACAAGGGGAATTGAAGCGCGTTTTCTGACTAGTGTCTGATTCGTTACAGTTGAATTTTGCAAGAAGAGGTGGAGGTCACTGCGAGATACTTACATGAAGAGAAGGAAAGAGGTGCAGAGGAGTGGCTCTGCTGCAGGTCAGGGGACAAAATGGAGGTACGGCAGTGCCCTGACCTTCCATGACCCAACCATAACCCCGGGCCCCACCACCAGTAACATGGTGAGTAGGGTGGTGGAAGGGCCGGCTCTTGTTGGAGAAGAGGCTTCTGCACTGCTTGAAGGTTTGTACTGGGTTGAAATGGGGGCATCTGACTATTATGACGTCATGCTATTGTAACAGTAATTAAAATAATATAGTGTTAGGGATAGTTAATGCAATGGTGGAAATATGACTGACAGGAAAAAAATAGATTCGGTATGAGAGCTTGTGGGAATGAAGACACAATAAGAAGTATAACTGTATAAATAATAATTTGTATTGAAAAAAATGTTGTAGACAGACAAAAAAAATAATTAGACCTTTGGACATAAACAACACATGAAAAAAACAGACCGATGAAAAGGGAAAAAAAAGTTGACACACAACAAAAAACCTTAAACCTTTATGGTTTGAGTTCAGGTCCGTTCTTTGCTTAGAAAGCAGAGTTCAGTTTTTAGTTTTTTTAGTTTCTTGTGCTTTAGGTTGAAGTACTCAGTTTAGTTCAAAAACAAAGTTCAAATACATTTTAATCCGTGTGGAAGCAAGAAAAATTATAATCCAATTCAAGGTGTCCTCTTGTACGGGTAAACGTTGGAAAAAATATATAAAGAGGTCCTACCAGTTGGTTGGTTCGTTTAGGGCTCAGCTCGCCACCTCTTACGAGGAATAGTGTTCAGGGTAGGGAAAAAAAACCTGACCGTCGAGTTTGAGAATTTTCTGTTTAGTTTTCTAGCAGTTCTGTGTAGAGTTTGTGAAGAGCTCAGCCGCAGTTCTGGTAACAGGAAGTGGGCTGCCGGTGTTCTGGGGCGCAGCCATTTTAACTATAGCGCCACTGATGGCGGGCCAATGAATGGATTATCCAGTTCGCCAGAGACGTGGGTTACAGGGTCCCCCCCTGATCTCATGTACGTCCCGGGACATGAGCTGGACGGACAACGATCAGGTGGCTGTACAGGTAAATCACCATAACCAACGTCATCAGGAATGGCGAGTGAAAACACTTTTCCGAGGCCTTCAAAGAGTGTTTGGATACTTTTCAGGACGGGATGGCCCAAATTGGTGTACTGAAATCTTTGGGGTGGGTGGCGTATTCTGGTGCTTCTTTTAGGTTGGGCTGCAAGCGGGGAATTGAGAGGATCAACGGCAGATTCAGGTGAGTTTTGGTTTGGAACGAGAATATCAGGTGAGTCGGGGACAGTAAGTGGTTCAGCAGGTAAGTCAGGTTCAGGATCAGGGGTCTCCGGTTGCCGTCCTTGTTGGTCCGGTCCATCTGGTATGTACTCCGTTTCACTTTCAGGTTGGACGGGATCTACAGGGACGGGGTCAGTAAGTCAATAGGTAGGGTTTGAGGTTGTGTTTCAGGTTCTGGAATGTTTACAGGGGTATGGAATCGGACTGTTTCGAAAGAAGGTAAGTGGTAGTCATTGTCTGGTGATATTTCGTCATCTGAAACGGGATCATCGGGTTCTGGATTGGATAACGTCATTTGGTGTTTTGCAGGTTTCTCTGGCGGTAAGGATTGGACTTCAGAGGTAAGTGGTAAGTATCCACAAGGTAGGAGTAAGTCGCGGTGGAGGGTTCTAACAGGTTTTTCTGCTTTTTCAGGATGTACAGTGTAGACAGGTAAGTTTTCGGCTTTCTTGATGACAACATAAACTTGAGACTCCCACTTGTCTGCAATTTTGTGTTTACCCCTCAATCGGACGTTTCGTACGAGAACACAATCGCCAACTTCAAGCTCTGAGGCTATGACTTTTTGGTCAAAGCGCATTTTGTTCTTTTTCATGATCTTCTCAGCATTTTCGGAAGCCAGTTTATAACTTGTTTCAAGCTGAGATTTCAGTTTCTGGACATATTCGGAGTGATTGAGATTGGGTTTGATGACAGGCAGTCCCAAAACGAGGTCGATGGGGAGTCGTGGTTGGCGTCCGAACATGAGTTCGTATGGGGTGAATCCGGTTGTGTCATTTTTTGTGCAATTGTAAGCATGGACAAGTTGTTTGACAAAGTCCTTCCAATGGGTCTTTTGTTGTTCTCCAAGTGTTCCTAACATGTCCAGTAATGTGCGGTTGAATCTTTCCTCTGGGGTGATATGGGGTTGTTCTGATTTTCTGAATTCCTGCAAGAGCACAGAGTTCTTTTATGGTTTTTGATTCAAAGTCTGGACCTTGATCGCTGTGGATTTTCTGTGGAATACCGTAGTGTATGAACAAATTCTCCCACAAAGCCTTGGCTACAGTCTTTGCCTTTTGGTTTGGGGTTGGTATGGCAAGGGCGTATTTGGTGAAGTGATCCGTAATGACCAGGATATCTTTTATTTTACTTCGATCCGGTTCCAATGTCAGAAAATCAATACAAATGAGTTCAAGGGGGTGTGAAGTTCTAATGTTGACCAGTGGAGCGGCTCTCTCTGGTAGTGCTTTTCGCTTAATGCATCGCTCACATGTCCTCACCTTGGTCTGTACATCGCTGGCCATCCGTGGCCAATAAAACCGGTTTCGAACCAGATCCAAGGTCCGTTCAATGCCCATGTGGCCCATTTGATCATGAAGGCTGGACAAAACATCCGCACGACACTCTTGGGGTAGCACAAGCTGATATTGGAGCTGGTCGCCAAGCTGCCTTCTCCTCACGAGGACGCTGCTGTGGAGCGTCCTCGTAAGTAAGTAAGTAAGTAAGTAAGTTTTTATTTATATACCACCTTTTCACTGCAGATCTGAGTCTCAAAGCGGTTTACAATTGTTAATTTTTGGGCATTTGTCTCTCACTCCACACAGAGATGGGATCGGGGTCGCCAGTACAGGAAGCGCATGCCAGAACTATTGGACATATTTTTAGTGGTAGGGGAACCGGAGTACCCGGACGAAACCTACGCAGACACGGGGAGAACATGCAAACTCCACTCAGAAAGGCCCTGGTCCGACCGGGATTCGAACCCAGGACCTTCTTGCTGAGAGGCGAGAGTGCTATCCACTCAGCCACCGAGCCGCCCGTAGGTCCCGTAGAAGGAGCGGCAGCTCTGGCAATTCATCCCTCAAAGAGGGGGTTGGTGAATCACCAGTCTCCAGTTGTGCGATTATGTGTCTCAGAACAGGATCTGTGCGTTGCTTGTCAGCAATGTCAGCTGGGCTCAGCGGAGGAACCAGAGAGGATACAAACTGCTCGTCAGCAGTGTAGCTATCCGGTAGGCTGCTGGGGGACATTGAGAGGGAATGGACGAGAGCATGTTCAGAAGTGGAATCGGAAGCACTGCATACCAGTTGTCGGTCAGAGAGAGCTTCCACGGTGTGTTGGTCGATTGTTATGACATTGGGGTATTCAAGATGTTGTTCGGTAAATCTGAGAATTCGTTCTCTTTCTTTCTGTGACATCGGATTGTTGACAAGTTCACCATGTGGTCTGCATGAAAGTCCCTCTGCGTCTGCATTTTGCTTGCCAGCTCTGTATGTGATCTTGAATGAGTAGGTGGATAGTGCAGATAACCAGCGGTAACTTGTGGCGTCGAGTTTGGCTGAAGTGAGGAGGTATGTCAGGGGATTACTGTCGGTCACAACTGTGAAGGAGGTACCGTACAGATAGTCATTGAATTTCTCAGTAACTGCCCATTTAAGGGACAGAAACTCCAGCTTGTGGGCGGGGTATCTGGACTCACTCTGGGACAAGCCTCTGCTGGCATAAGCGATCACCCTTTTATGGCCTTCCTGTTCTTGATATAGAACAGCACCAAGCCCGGTGGAACTGGCGTCGGTGTGTAACAGGTAAGGAGTTTTGGGATCGGCAAAAGCAAGTACTGGTGCAGAGGTAAGTTTACATTTTATTGTTTCGAATGCTTCTTGGCATGCAGGTGTCCAACGACCACCAAATGGCTCTTTTGGATTGTAATACTGTTCTGGTTTGATAAAGAGTCTTTGTTTCTTCTGAGATGGTGGGTATCCGGAGGTAAGTTCATGTAGAGGTTTGACAATGTTGGAATAGCCTTGAACAAATCTTCTGTAATAGCCAGAAAATCCCAAGAAGGATCTGAGTTCTTTCAAGTTTTTTGGGATTGGCCAGGATTGCAATGCTTCGATTTTGTTTGGATCGGTTTCAACGCCGTATTGGGAAACTATGTGGCCGAGGTATCTGACGGAGGTCTGGAAAAAAGTGCATTTTTCCACTGAGAGTTTCAGTCCAAATTATTTTAAGCGGTTTAGAACTGCCATCAATCTTTCTTCGTGTTGCTGCAGTGTCGGAGGAAACACAATCAAGTCGTCAATAAACACGAGAACATCTCGCAAGTTCATCTCGCCGACACACTTTTCCATTAACCGTTGGAACGTAGATGGCGCATTTGTGACCCCTTGGGGCATTCGATTAAACTCCCAGAATCCTAATGGGCACACAAAAGCCGTTTTACATTTGTCCCTTTCCTCCATTTCAATTTGATAATACCCTGATTCTCTTAAGGATCACCCTCCCTGTACAGGGAGGATTCAGTTATTTTTCATTTAACAGCATCAGTATTAGAATTCACTTGTGTCAATATAGTCAAGCTATATCTCTTTTGAAAGCTTATTCCCACCTCTATACACGTATTATGTTCAAATAAACATTAAATATAACCAAAAGTAAGAATAAGTAGTCAAACTGTATATATGTTTAAAATATATATTGTCGTTTCTTACCTTGTCATGCTAATATTCTGGGGCAAATAACGTCTAATCCACACATGTGGATGTTTGTTTTGTTCGTTAGGGTCTAGAGAATAATTATATCCAGTTGTTTTTTCTTCAAAGTCATCCTTATAGTAGATATCCACTTGCAACAACATATTTGAGTATTGAAAGTTGCACAAACAAAAACAAAACCTGTTCTTTGCGCACTGTATGAAGAGGACATTTTACTGTTTAGCTAGCGTCACTGGGTATGTTCGTCTTCCTCTCAGTCTTCCCTTCAAAACAAGCCCATTCCCGGACTTTTCAGTGCTATGGTTTGGAAGGTAGAGTAAGTTGAGTAAAACAAGCGCACCTAGATTTAGCGCTCCATTCACATAGATATCTGTGCGTCATGACAGCATTGTCTTGACTACCATTGGCCGATTTGGATGTCAATCAAATCATCTTGTAGCCAATAATCTCAGGTTTCAGGCGATGTGTCGGACTTCTAGCTTCCTCCCACTGTTCCCGTCATATTTGAATGCGTAAAGAGGAAGACTGAGCCTTTTTCACGGAGAACACGCGCTATAACTATATAAATAATAGCTTTTCTGCAAACATTTCAATATCTGGAAAAAATGCTATTTATAGCAAGAGTAATAGCCAAAAAATTATATAAATGGATTTTTGGTGTAAAAACATTGATAATTTGCATGTAAAACACTTTTGCACAGTTGGCACAAAAATGGACCACTTGTGCCGAATGTGCCCATTAGTTACAAAACAGCCCCCAGCATCAAAATAGTTCCACCTAAAGGTCTAAAATTTCATACAGGTGTTTCCAACACCACGAACATCTGCTCTGGTGAGTTTGAACATCATACCATAAAGTATGTCTTCAGGAGAACCTTTTGAAATTGCCTTTTTTTTTTTTGAGACATAAAAAACTAACTTTGACTCATGTTTGAGAAGCTGTAGTGCAGACTGTGTCCTTCCTAACAAACTGTAACATACATTTTCAGAAACTAGAAGGTGTTACCTTTCAAATGAGGCATCATAACACAAAATCAGACACAAGATGTCCACACAATAAGCATTTCCATTTGGGTATCATAATTCGAGAAGGAGCAGGCGAAATTAGGTGATCCTTAAAGGGTTAAATCCAAAACTGAGAAATATCTTGATCCTGTAAGTGCTGTGAAAGTGTCTTCAAGTTTGGGAAGGGCGTATGCATCTTTTATTGTTTGTGTGTTGAGTTTCCTATAATCGATGCAAAGTCTGACACTGCCGTTCTTCTTCCTTACCACCACTATGGGTGATGCGAAAGGTGATTCAGATTCCCGGATCACTCCGGAGTCCAACAGCTCCTGGAGATGTTTCCTGACAGCGTCCAGGTCTTGGGGGTGTATGGGCCGTGGTCGCTGTTTGCATGGGGATGGATCATTAAGTTTTATTTGATGTTTCACTTTGTCAGTTTTGCCAAAATCCAAGTCATGCCTTGCGAAGACTTCGGGAATACTGTTCAGTTTTTCGATGATTCTGGTTTTCCATTCTGGTGTCAAAGGTGAGTTTTCAAAGTTGTAGTTGTAAAGGGGTGTTGGTGAAGGTCGGGACGGAGATTCTGGACAGCTTTGTTCAGCACAGGACACAGACTGGAATGTGCTGATTTCTGCTAGCATGGCTCTGGGAGGTAAGATGACGTTGTGGTCTGACTCGTTCGTGACAGGTACTAGCAACAGGAAAGGGAATTGACTGGTGGGGCTGATGAGACTGGATTGGATCATTAAACCACCAGGTAACTGGAATGACTTTGGGTGTTCAATCAGTACAGTTTTTTCAGCTTGCAGGGAGT